TGCATGCTGCCAAATACTGTGATAATAGATTAATTAGTGTCATGGTGTCTCCAGATTGAGAGTCAGTACGGTACTTGGTAGCTTTTACTGAAGGCCAAGAACTGCAGAGGGCTTTCATGATCTGATTTAAACTTCCTGCTGGCCAGCAAACTATTAGGCTAAATGGACTTTTGCCCTGATCTGGTATATCTCCACTTACTTTCTTACAGTCTTTTAAGTACCCTGTTTAATTATTTAAAATGTTACTTGCTTTTCTTTGAATAATGACATGATTACCTCAGCCTCTTCTAAGGAAGCCTGGAGTTCACACTTCTCTTGCTCAATCTGCTTCTTCACTTTTTCCAGTTCATGGATGGCCTTTCCTCCCTCAGCAATCTGTTCTGTGAGGTCTGATATCTCGTCTATTAATTTCACACAAGTAAAGAAAAAAAAGTTAAATAAAAATTATAAGAATATGGAGAGTTGGCAATTTCCATGATTCATCCGGCTCATCCCTTTATGGCCAAATATGATTACTTTAATAATTGAATTGTTCTGGACTGCTAGACCATTGGCATCAAGCACACTTTATATTTGCTTTCTTATAACAACTAATTATCAAAGAGCCATATAAGTAAAATTAAGAAAAAGGGGGAAAAAACCCTCTGCATTTTGCCACATCAAACAGGAGCTACTATACATGTGCATACTTTTCGGGCCTTGGATAAAAGGACAGTATGAAGACATTTCAGCCATACAGGACTATGTTTATTTCAATATTGTGAAACATCAGTTACTAGCTGGGTTTTTTTTTCTTTTTTTCTTTTTGTACTTACTTTAGAAAGGAAAAGCACTTGAAGGGATTTTCTGCATTGAGTGATAAAATAACATGATCATCCATAGTTACCTCAAATGAGTAAAATGGGCCACTGAATATTATTCTGCCTCAAGCAACAAAATGATTGCCTCATCTGATTTCTTTTCTTAGCTCTCCCAGTTAACTAATAGGTTCATAGTTCTGTCCATGACTAGGATAAAAACAACTTACGCTGGAGATTCTTATTCTCACGCCTCAGGGTTTCCAGGTGATCCAAGGATTCTTCATACGCGTTCTTCATCTTAAAGAGCTCTGTGCTGAGAGACCGAGACTCCTTTTGGGAAGCTTCCAGTTCAGACTGAGTTTCCTCATATTTCTGTTTCCAGTCTGCCAGAATCTGTAAAAGGTCACCGAGTCATTGGTGGCATAGAAATTTGATAAATAAAATAATTAATTTAATTGGCT